TTTTTAGAGCGTAAAAAGTTTTTCAGAATTTCAAATATTTTTCGATATATATGGTATTAAACAAGACATTTCATAGAAAAGATATTGTTATGAGTGTGCATGCTGTAACACATACAGCTCCACTAACTAGCTTTGCACCAGTCGTCAGAGAATTTCTCTCTTCTTCTTTCGTCTCTGACGTTCCCCTTTCGACGTATCATATATATATATATATATATATATATATATAATAGATAGATAGACAGTAATTAAACACTTTCCAGGCGGTCGTAGGGTAGGCAAATAAAACTTCCACTCTTTTGTGTCACGAAAGGTCAGCTGTTCTAACACTATTTCTTCCTGTTGTAACTGTTACTGTTATAACAGGTGTCTGTTTCTGTTGTCAACTGTTTCTCTTACGACTGCTCCTGTTATAACTGTTTCTGTTGTATCTGTTATAACAGCAAAAGGTGCATGCCTAGTTTTTGATCAAAGAAAAGTCAACTGTTTTGCTTCAAAAAGAAGAATAACATACAGGTTCTTTCTTGACTGCCTATATATTAAATTTTGATATAACTATAATTATTAATTTGTTTCTCAATGGCAACAAACAATCATATCAATATTAGAAATAAAAATAATCAAATTAAATTTTTCTATCATTTGAGAGATGATCTCTTCTTTGAAACGTTGTTTGCAGATAAATCAAAGTGATTGTATTTTAGATGAAGATTAAAGATTTGTCTTTTCAAATTTGATCTCTTTTTCTGCATATAAATGCCATTTCATACGATAGTGAACTGAATTGATACGTTATTCTATTTAGTCTAGTAGTTTAATATTATGTTACGTGTTTTTGAGCAAATTTGTATGACAACATGAAGTTTTTCCCTGAATCAATAACATGTTATTCATCATTGCCATTAACGGTAACAGAGTCAACGATTAGATGTATGACTTACGTGCTTTGTTTTTTGTTAAAATCATAATAAGAATAACAAAAAAAACTTTTTCTATGCAAAACTTCATTTGTTCTATTATCTCCATATTAAGCAAGCGTTGAAAATAACAGCGAAATGACGAATACGATGAACCAACAACGGAAAATTTCTGGTAATGATCGGAATAAGACTATATCTTCAGTTCTCGTTCCATTAATGATTGGGCTCTTGACCATTGCTGTAGCTGTTGTTCAACTCTACATTGCCAGTCAACAACGTGAACGCGATCTTTTCCTTGCTAATGAAACACGAGTTAAAGATTTAGAAATTACTGAAAAGAATCACCAACAAGCGCTCTTCTTGGCTAATGAACAGACAAAAGATACCATTCTTAATGATTATCTAGATTTTCTTGCGGGTTTTCTTGAGAAGCATACAGATAAATCATCTAATTTGAATTGGGCAGCAATATCGTCAATCGTTGAATTTAAAACATTTGCTGTTCTTGATCAACTTGATGGAAAACGAAAAAGCCATATTATTAAAGCTTTATACAACGCTCGTTTAATCCAAAGTGATAATTGGTTTTTCGTCTCATTAGCCTACGCAAACTTAACTGAAGTTGAATTAGGACATGCTTAAGTCCTTGGAAGTATTTAGAAAGTACAAGATTTCTTAAGAACTTGTTCAAGTCCTTGCGTGCATACTTCAAGTTCT